TTAAAAATGAACTTTTAGCTTACTTAAATCTTTGTTTGCCATGTTTAGAGGCTATTAATGTATTTAAGAGCGACAGCAATTTGTTACTGGCTGCTAGGTGTAACAAAAAATACGTTTTTAAAAACAAAAAATAAAATACTTTATTTTTATGCTGAGTACTTTTTTTTTAACCTTTTAGTCGAGAAATACTTTATGTAAAGCCTGAAAAGGTGGCAACCCTAGTGTTTACTATAAAGACAATATAAATTAAAGTTTTTAATGGTTATTGTACATATGATTGTTCGATTTTAAAGTGTTCTCTAGTTTACCTATTTTTTTTTAATACAGGGTGTAACAGAAATAAGTGCCGAGCTAGCAGGAGGTGATAGAGTATTATAAAACATGAACATTAAGTAAATGTTTGGATGTTCGAAACTTCACCATTTTCGAAAAAAACTTGAAAATACAAGTAAATTTTATTCCGGCCCTGCTAGAGAAATACGATCCGCAACGTTGTACTCAATCGGCCGGTCATTACCAGCATCAGCATAGTGTTTACTTCGTATGTTTTGTTAATGTATTATTTATTTGTTAAATTAAATGAAGTGTGATTCATTTTAACAGCCAACCTCTAGTACTCGTTGATACTTTAACGTTTAAACCTTGTGAAGCAATCGATATGCAGTCCAATAAACTAATTCAGCAATACAGTATCAATCGTCAGTGTAGGTCAGTATGTCACTGTAGAACAGTTGTTGTTACAATAATATGACATGATACCTATTTCGAGGTTTGAACCAAATCACCGCTATAGGGACGAAATTTTTGCTTTCAAAGAAGACAATCGCCAAAATAATATTCGTGAAATAGCAGGGAACATGGGCAAATCTTTAAAAGCGCAGTTGCAGCATCCTTATCATTTGTAACGAGTGCAAGCCTTCCTTGAAACTGATTTTCAGTTACGAGTAGTGTAGGTGGTCTCCAAAGAAAAGTGCTACATGGCCTTTTTTTTATAGGGTGTTGTTGACAGACAAACTTGCTTCACGCGGAACAGAATTTTGAATTTTTACGATTTGAGGGGCTGTTTTCGGTAACTGTGTGGTATAAAATTTTTGAATTCATATGTCTAGATGATGGCCCCCACCCCCGAAGAGATAAAGCTATTTAAATAATGTTTTTTATAACTTTCTCAATATTTTTATGTATTTTTCTTTAGTTTTACCTTTGAATATTGTTTAAGAATGACTATACAAATATTTACATGCCTAGAAATGTATAAAAATTGGCATATTTATTAACTTTGAACCCCCATAACTGTTTATAGGAGTGAGACTGCCACAAACTTTTTATGGTGAAGTGGTGGGGGAGACCTCCTTTCGATCATCTGGACATTTACCGGCAACACGCAACTTAACAATACCTCAATAACGGTGTGGAAATGTTTAGGTAACTTACATTATCTTTCTTTTGTGTTCTCACATTTACACAATGCTGCGTGTAATGTACTAATTTAATTTATTTAGTCTAAACATTATGTGTAGTACTAAATTTTCAGTTTGTCATAAACTTTCGATCTATCAAGGAGGACCTAGAGATAGTTTTAAATAAAATGGAAGCGGTACTGACAGATCAGTACTGCATGAAAATAAATAAAAGTAAAACTAAAATACTGATATGCAAGGTAAGAAAAAGTAGGAAAAGAGCGAATATAAAGATAGGAGACGAAAAATTAGAAGAAGTGGCTGATTTTAGATACCCAGGAAGTCAGATAAGTGAGGATGGAAGGAGTAGTAGGGATATAAAGCAGAGGATAGCGCTGGGTCGTGTCGCCTTTAATAAAAAGAAGTCACTTCTATGCTCGCAAACTGTTAATTTAGAAATTCCAAAAAGGTTGTTAAAGGTGTGTACGGGTGCGAAACATGGACAGTAGGAGCAGCGGAATAGAAAAGGTTAGAAGCGTTCGAAATGTGGTGTTATAGGCGGATGATGAGGATATCGTGGGTAGAAAAGGTTAGAAATGAAGAAGTATTGGAAAGAATAGGAGAACAGAGGACTCTATGGAAGTCAATAAAAAATAGGCGAGATAGGTTGGTAGGACACCTTCTCAGGCATGAAGGTCTAGTCAGAGATATATTAGAGGCAGAAACAGGAGTTAGGAGGGGTAGAGGTAGACCTAGATTAGATAACTGTTCGCAAATAGTTAAGGATGTGGCTTGTTCTAGTTTTAGATAAATGCGAAGTTTAGCTCAGGATAGGAAAGAGTGGAGGTACGTGTCCAACCAGTCTCAGGACTGATGACCTTATGATGAAACTTTCGATAATCGGCAATGTTTACATTTTTCATCGATGTGAGTGCAAAGTTTTTATTGCAGTACACTATTTGGAGACACCTATGTTACCAATTCACGCGCAGTACAGATTATAAATTAGTGTGATTTTTTTTTGGGCTTTAACCACGCTCTTGAACTCACCATGAAATTGTTTATTGCAGCTAATTTACATCCCCAGAGCTCGACACGCGTTTCTGTTACACCCTGTATAAGTACAAACATCCTTATTGGGTTATTTTTCAAAGATTAATGTTTCCATATTATTTTTCTACTTTTTCACCAACAACTGCATAAGAATATTTATTTTAGTATATCTCCTTTTAACTTTAAGTTCCAAGTCTTATCGTTTCATAAAACTTCCGCTTTGTGCACGTACGTACAGTTACCTTTAATTTCCGCCTCAATTAATGCCCCAATGGTAACCCGGAAAAGTGTACAAATTATGAAAACATTTGAACACTGTCGCTCAATTATTATACTCCTGTCTGAGTAATATGTTCGTGACATGTACCTCGTATTTTCCCATAGGCGGTCGGAATGAGCGGCCGGTGCGGCGAAGCGCACTCACCGGTTGTTGTCCTTATTACCGCATACTGTATCATTTGATAACCGACCGACGAGCGCGCGTAAAGTTCAACTTCAGAAATACGATAATGTCAAATTCTACAGTTTCAATTTGTTTGTAATTCAAAAAATGAAAAATACTCGACTTTGAAAACAAACTAACAGTTGTATATACTATATACAAATTCAAGTATAACACGACAAAGTACCTATAGTTATTTTATCGATATCTTCACTCCAATATAAAGCAAATAATAAACAATTTTAAAGTAAATCCAAAACTTTTAATAAATTCACATATTCTCAATGCCTCGCGTAAGTCTCACTCGATGATTTTACTCAAAACACCCCTGTAGTTTTAGTTGCATGGACAGCGTCACGATTCCTTTTTATATGTTTTTGAGTAAAAATGTGAATAGCATCTCAAACATGTGAGTGTCTCAATTTTGAGGATCCACGGTCCACCCGCTCCTTGAGTACCAACTCAGATTTTTATGAATAAATAAATAATTATATAACGAGTTTTCTAGTCCTACTACTACTTATTTATATCACACGATACTTATAATGCTTATGCACTATTCACTGCATTTATGTCACTCTGTATTCACTAATTCACATCGTCTATATTCTGTATTACTGATCAGCTGTCTATACAGATATACTAAAATCGAATTCTAGAACTCCTACTGTTAAGCAGGCAAATATGCGCCACTCAGGGTATGATTTATTACCCTCCGCGTCATTTGTACAACGATTACAGTCCCTATCTGCACACTCAAGAGCCGTCGGAAATCAATATTTTCCAATAGAATGACTGCTTTAATAAAAATGTAAGACGCACTCGACTTTACGCAAATCACTTGAATAATAAAATATCCACAGCGAGAAAGGGAAGCAAATTTCATCTATGTCATAAAACAGAACTGTGGATATACAGGAAAATCCACAGAATATCATGGAACGAACACTAAGAAACAAGGAAGGCATGAGAAAAATTAACAAGAGAAAAGAAACTTAAAACTTAAAAAACCTACAATTATACATTATACGCGAAGAAAGAAAAATTCAGAGTAAGAGACGTATAGGAAGAAGAAGAATATCATGCCTTCGCAAGGTAAAGGAATGGTATGGATGCATATCAAACGAGCAGTTCAGAAAAGTTGCCTCCAAAATCAAAGCCATAATGATTGCCAACCTCGGCCGAAGAGAGGACACGAAGATGAAGATTAATTTGGAATACTGACTTCCTAAACGTCAATTTTTTTAGTTTTCTTTAATGTAGTTATTCCTGTTTTTCTTGTTATTTAATACGATTAGAATATATACTTACAGAGTGTTTCTGAAATAAGTAGCAAGTATGCAGGAGATGATAGGGCAGTGCAGGAGATGATAAAATAAAAAATACTCAAGTAAATGTTTAGTAGTCCGAGAGTCCACCGTTTTCGAGAAAAACGTATTTGTAAGTACAGGCAAGGACAAGTTCGGCCCTGGTAGGATCACGCAGAAAAATGAGACATTGCAATGCCCTATTCAATAATAAATTAAGCGTGATTGGCGATGTTTATGTTTACAGCCAGTCTAGGATGGTTCTTTGCTCCATTAAAGTTGTAGGCTTGCATTACGTATATATGCAGGCAGTCGAAATCATTAGAAGTAGGTCAATGTATCAATGTCATAAGTCAGTGCAAAATAGTGCATACTATCAGCAATGAACAATGTGAATTAATCGTTAAATTAAGCGTCTAAAGATTATTATGTGTAGTAACGCAGTATAGTAAGCTGTTGATATATACTTTATTAGTTAACACCCTCCAAAGCTTGCTACTTATACCCTGCATAAGTACTAAGTAGGCATAAGGTATGTACACCTTTTATAGTACGAAAAAGTTTGCTACACATTTAAAATACCAAGAAAATTACTGAAGCAATCGTACGCGACGTACAATGTAGATTAACGTCATTATTATCACGTACAATCGCACGGACTAAAATAAACCCCGCTACCCTCGGGTCCGTTTATTATAACTGTCCCGTCTGACAAGCGTCGACCATCAATCATAATACAATTCGCCGATGGCCGCCTTTATTAGTTCGAGATAAAGATGCAAATTGCGTTACACTTACCCGATCTTGTTAATGAGCTTGCCGTGGACGTGGAGGTAGCTGGTTACGAACCTTTTGTTCACCTGTGGACAAAAATCGGCCGTTATACACTGCATCATACTATTTTCACTTCCTGTATTCCTCGTTCATTTTCTTCTTATATTATTATTATAATACATGTACGCATTACCATCACGCTTCACTATAATAGTACAACTATCAATAAAATCGACTATTATCCTCCGTACCAAGATTGTATATTAATGACAACATCTCTCAAATTCCAAATAACAACGGGTATAGTTAAATAAAGTAAAACAAAAATACTGCTATACAAGAGAGAAAATAAAAATTAGAAGAAGTGGCTGATTTTCGGTATCTAGGAAGTCAGATAAATCAGGACGGAAGGAGTAGTAGGAATATAAAACAGAGGACAGCGCAGGGTCGTGTCGCCTTCAATAAAAAAAAGTCACTTCTATGCTCGCGAACGGTTAATTTATTAATTCGAAAAAGATTGTTAAAGGTGTATGTTTGAAGCGCGGCACTGTACGGGTGCGAAACATGAACAGTAGACGCAACGGAAAAGAAAAGGTTAGAAGCGTTCGAAATGTTTTGTTACAAGCGAATGAAGAGGATACCGTGGATAGAGAAAGTGAGAAATGAAGAGGTGTTAGAAAGAATAGGAAAACAGAGGACTCTATGGAAGTCAATAAAAAATAGGCGAGATAGGTTGGTAGGACACCTTCTCAGGCATGAAGGTCTAATCAAAGACATATTAGAGGCAGAAACGAGAGTTAAAAGGGGTAGAGGTAGACATAGATTAGATTACTGTTCGCAAATAGTTAAGAATGTGGTATGTTCTAGTTTTAGGGAAATGCGAAGATTAGCTCAGGATAGGAAAGAGTGTAGCTGCGTGTCCAACCAGTCTTAGGACTGACGACTTTATGATGAAGAATCATAAGTTTTACGTACCTCCACACTACTTAACGAAGCCAGGTCTTCTTCTTCCGAGTCAAGTGGTTTCGGATCTTGTACAGCTGACGTTGTCCGATGAACACGACGTCCACCATCCGGTCTTATCCAAATCTCCTTCCTCAGGGAACTCGAATGACTTGAGCTCTCCGATTCTTTGTCCTTCATGTGCTGTCGTGCCCTCTCCAGTCTTTCTTCCCGCCTTTTCTTTTCCCCTTGCTCATACTGATTAAACACAAAACAATTAATGATGTTGTAAAATCGTCTACTACATGTATAGATAAATCATATCAACTAATATAAAAAAAGACTAAAGCGAGCCGTGCAAAAACATCCAAGGCAACAAACCTTCACCATCATTTGATTGCCAAATATCGTGCTGCTAAAATAATTGTATATAATACTAGCGAAATAATACTATAAATAATACAAAAGAATTCATTGTGATAACAGAGGGGTCTACATGTCATTTTAAGAAGTCGTTCCAATTTTTAACAATCCTGGTCATAATCAACCACTGTATTTATTATATTACAAAATATAAAAAATAGTTTGCTTCTACTAATTACATTCGCCCTTGTCTTGGTTTCCTCTGCTCCTTTTATCCACACTTCTTGCCGATAGAATACCATTGGAAGCAGAACAGTTTGGATTAGTCGTTTCCGGTTTTTGATGCTCAGTTGTCTATTGTGTTTTGTGACTGCATATAGAGATCCGATTCGTTTTTGAATTAGTGCCGCGAAGTTAAGATTCCTATCGATTGTTTACCTTATATGTTATTTGGTTCCTGATTTTAATTTGTTTATCGTTGTGTTTCAGGTAGCTTCTTGCTGGGATCTTATTGTGGAAGCATATGATTTTTTTCTTGCTTAGCTTTATTTTCCATTGCTTAGCATACCGTGATATTTGTTGTAAATTCCTTTCCATTTTGTTTCCTTGTTATCTGCGAATTGGAGAATGTGAGAGAGTATATGGTTATGTCCTTTTCGAACTTTGGGATGTCATTTATGTATATATTGAAGAGCAGCGGTGACAGCGGGAAACCTTGAGAGAGACCTTCTTTCGTTTCTTTTTACCTGACATCTTTTCTTTTATTTTCACTTTGAAGGTGCGGTCCGTCAGCCAAGACTTAATTAGCTAGAGGATCCATACCGGACAATTGTACTTATTGTATACATCTTACGTAATAAGCCATTTCGCCATACCCTGTCGTAGGCTACCATCGTTTTCTTTCTTGGTTCAAGGTTCTTCTTAATCGTGCTGACTAGCACTGGCGCTTGTTGAATGGCTGCTGTTTTTTTCTGAAATCCGAATTGATTTGTTAAATTGATTTCGTTCTCTGCATTAAATACCTCTAGCACTTCCTTTATGGTTTTCTCGAATATTTTTGCTAGCCCGTTTAGCAGACTTATTGGCCGTTGATTTTGGACTTGTCTAGGATCCTTTTCCCCTATCGATGTGGGGACTATTACCGCTTCTTTTGACATTTTTGAAATATAAGGTAATGATATATAGGCCTGGAAAAGATTGCATATTCTGTTTAATGGAATTCTGTCCATTCCTGAGCTCTGTCTTGGTTTGAGTCTTTTGACGTTCTNTTGTTAATTTATATACGTTTCTGTTTTAAGAAATTGCTAAACATTTTCGTCTAGTACTGTACATTTATAGTCGATCTTCTAAAACCGCCCATCGAGAGCTCTGCTCGTTCAAGCTTGTTCCAACTATTTCTGTCTTGCTCACACCTAGTGTGTATTCTTTCTATCTTCGCGCAGATTTCTTCAAGGTCACAATTCTTACAAGTTGAAATGGACAGTACCTATTATTCTATTACATCGATAACTTAAATTCGAACCAAAAAAGCCTTGGGTGTTTCATTCTCACCAACTACTAGTGAACGAGCAGTTTCTCCAGACTACACCCGAGAGTTGGGGAGTAGGCTCATTTTAACCTCCTTTTAGCCAGCTAAAGTACAATTTACGCAAAATGTATCTCATGATGTTTTAACACCTATCAATCACCCCTTCCCTTCCGCATACAACTTACATACTTTTAACGCACTATAAATTCATCCAATATTCTCATATCAATTTAACCATCAAATATAAATACAGCAATACTGATATCAACACGAAATTCAGCATAACTACTGCTTTCAATTCTTCTAAATAGTAATTAGTAATCATTTCTAAATTACGTGTATGCTTCGCATAATCATAAATGATTAATTAAGTGCCATAATTTCCTTTCGGTAATTAAAAATGATCTCTACTGGAAACTTCTCGCGAACCATTTTGCCCAACAACTTATTGATACGGGAAGCCGAGCTTTTATGTATGTATAAAACATTAGTAAATATGGTCTTGTACCTAACTTTTTCTAATTTCGTCTGATCACCACTACCAAAGATAGAAGTCATTAGCAAGCGGTATTTAGCTGGTGTACCGGCTACGAAATTTTTGCAAATCAATAAACAACCTCGGAAAATGGGCAATCCATGGTCTTTACAACATCATAAACGTTGTTGCATAGAAATGATTGTGAAGATGCGTTATTAATAATAACAAAGAAAGCAATTAAGAAGATGTCACTTTCTATACAAAATCCGTTTCGTTTATAATTCCAACTGGAAAATGTTTTTACGAGATGTGTACGTATTTCAACTTATACTACCATTACTTTAAAGGTAAAAGCACATACATAAGAATAGGATGGAAAAAAACAAATGCCATTTCACATGGAACTGATGGCGCGCGTTTGAACGCGCGGAATAGAATCTCGCTGAGTTATCAAAAAATAAATAGTTAGAAATCACGCAGTGACAATAATAACTAGAAAGTAGAAGTAAAGGAAATGGCACTAAAGAGCTGGAGACATGTGGCGGAACAAATAGAGGAACAACAAGAATAAGGAGATTTCAACTGGAACTGGAAAAGCAAAGAAGGGAAGGAAAAAAAGGAAAACCTAAAGATTTTTAGAATGGAATAGGAAAAGATGAAAAAAAAACTTTTGGGTGTTTCATTCCCACCAGTCAGTAATGCTGGTGGGAGAACAGTCCCTCCGGACTACGCCGGAAGGTAGGACGGAAGGCCCTCTTCAACCTGCTTTCAGGAATCGTGGGAATGGGTGGTGGTTCGGGTGAGAAAGTTGAGACGGACGAAATGAAGACAGAAGAGAATGAAAGATTATCTGTGGAATATTATTTTCCCAGCATATGCCTAAGTGATCCAAGGAAACCACAGAAAAACTTGGACCAAGGCAGGCGGACCCGGAATCGAACCGGCGTCCTCCCGAATGCTAAGCAATGGTCTAAACCTAAAGATGAAATGACTGTGGAAGACAAATGGTAAAAGAGGAAAGGAAAAAATATGGATAAGACGGTTAAAGTTGGATACAAGAAAATCATAATAGATAGGGAAGTATGGATACGGGACGAGGAATAGAAAGGATGGTAAGAGGTGAAAAAAGGGGGGGAATCGAGGAAAGAATAAAGATACAGTGAAAAGGAAGTGACAATAGAAATTATTACAATACGAATAACAACAATGGCAAAGACGAAGGCGGCAAACCAGCTTGATGGAATTCTAAGAGAAGTTTGGATATGCACGGCAAATATAGAAATATACATAATGCAATGTAGAAAATGTAAACTACGTTAGCAGTTTAAATAAAGCACATGTAATATATCTATGTTCTATTAACGCTTTGCCTTACCTGTATAAGTATCAGTATCTGAAAACAAATATTTGTACAACATTGATAAATCTTCCTTCGGATATGTCAGAGTTAAAAAGTCAACATTTTCGAATGTGAGCAAACTAGTTATAATCCCCATGATTAATTGCAACAAATATCGTTTACCCTTTTTAGTTTTTTTATTCGTCATTCCGCTTGCTCTCATAAATCTGATTAGGCTTATAATAAATCTCCACAAGAGTGGCACGCATATCAAAAAAATGGTTTCACACAAATAGCTTGCAGACTGCGAGGATTGTTTTTTTTTTAGCAAACGGAAACTAGTTTAAATTACATAAATACGAGACTGATAACACAAGCATACAAACACGCTTCTAGCTACCAACTCTAATTAATTTAGGAAACCTGTTATACTAAACTTATGCCCGTACGCTAATGAACCACCGCTAGTCCAATTAATTTCTGAATGTTAAATTGCTTTCGTATCTTACATAAACGTTGATAAATAATTAAAAATATGTGTTCAAATACTGATAATAATTCGAACTAATTACGTCATATATTTGGAAGCATTTAGAGCTAGAAAAAATGATTTAGCAACTTTAGAACTTAGAATTCCTCATTAAAACTATATTTAATTACGAACATTAATATACTCGGTAGTCCATTACGAGCGCTTTGCTCTCTATCAGTCTTGCCATTGAATTGGAAGAAAATGTTTCCAATAAAAAATGTCCCTGGTCAAATGGTTCGTCTACGGAAAATAATTTCAGAGTCCGCTAGAGTCCCGGCGGCGTTTGATGTGCTCAGCTGTTGTTTTCTTACCTGTGCTCTCCATGTGGCTGGGCATCATTGCCTCTATTAGCTGCTTTATTTTATATCGAACACCCAGTATATTATAACATTTTTGAATTCAGCATCGATTTTAATGTCCAGTTTGTTAAGCATAGTGTTTGTCTACGCGGTATCTTTTTGGAATTATTTAGTAATTTCTAAAAAAAATTTAATATCTCATTAATTATACTCGATAAAACGATGCGGCTGTCTCTGTTGAAAAGATAATGAAATGCACCTGGCTTTACATCTAAAAATTTCTTTCCAAGCACATTAACATCAATAACTCATTTTTTTCGAAAGGGAAGCTATGTTCATTTGGACATCGTCGGATACAAAATAAAATTCTCTTTCGATTTTATTAAGGCATATTAGGGTCTAAGCTTGACGGTTTTCAAACTAATTGCGATTTGTTAATTATTCTGTAATTTGCAGAGAAAACGGATAAATCGTAGGCAGCATATAGCCGAAAATGTTTATTCGAATTATTGATAAAATTACTTAAACTCACCACAACACAAACAATTAATGTCATAAAAAATTGCCGAGACTTCACGAGCTGAATTTTCTCAAGATGGTTTATTGCTGAAGTGAATAAAACTTGGAAAAAAACAATACTGGCAACAAACTTTATTCACAATAAATTATTAAATATGTACCGTTGTTGTTCTTGTTCATTTTCATTTAATAATTCATTGTAAATAAAGATTGTTCATATTGTATTGTTTATATCGAAGTTTTATTCACCATTTTGAGAAAATTCAGCTCGTGAAGTCACGGAAAATTTTTATTACATTAATTGCTTGTGTTATGTTGAGTTTAAATAATTTTATCAATAATTCAAATAAACATGACAGAATGTATTTTCAGCTATAGATCCATGCCGCCTAGGATCTATCCGTTTTCTCTACACATTACAGAATAATTATTTTGAAAACCGTATACACTAATACGCCTTAATAAAATCGAAAGAGGATTTAATTTTGCATCCGTCAAAATGAACATGGTTTCCCATTTGAAAATGTTTGAAACATTTAAAATTTGAACATTACTAGTGTAACGATATAAGGTGCTTTGAAAGAAATTTTTAGATGGAAAGCCAAGTGCGTTTCATGCTCTTTTCAACAACGACAGCCGCATCTTTTTATCAAGTATAATTGCTGAGATATTAAAATTTTTGTACTACAAACGTCAAATTTTCCAAAAATTACTAAATAACTCCAAAAAGATACCGCGCAGGCAAAAACTATACTTAACAAACTGGACACTAAAATCGATGTTGAATTCAAAAATGTAATAATATACAAGATGTTACATTAAAAATAAGGCAGCAGATGTATATCCGGAAGTCCGCCATCTCTGAAATTATTTTCCGCAGATTGGTTCCTTTGACCAGGAACATTTTTTATTGGAAACATATTCTTCTAATTTCAATGGCAAGACCGCTAGAGAGCAAGGCGCTTAATGGACTACCCTGTATGCATTGAAAGACTTTTCGAACAAGAATAAAAAAAAACTTAATTAGTTTTGCTACTTTCTAAAGAAAAGATTGTTGTGATATCTACATCAATTTTCACATTAATAAGATTGGCATTTTTTCTATGTTAATTACACACTAAGAAAAGCCAATCTGGAATAACTAAAAATAAGTACAGTTCTTGTAAAATAAAAACCATATTTGTTTACCACCCTTCTGTGCAATTTTATTTTTACATAACACCCCTTCTGTATATATGTACGTATATATAACTAATTATGAAAAGATGTACATATCTTCATATTCGTATACATATGTGCATACAATGCAATGGCAACGTATTATGTGGAATTTTTCAAACTTCTTAATCTAACATATAGACCCCCTCTTTTATAAACACACTACTAATGAAAGGAATATCTTTAAATGGCATACGATCAGGCTATAATATATTACAGCTTGCTTTATACAATAATAACGGTCGCCGTGGCCATTTTCCTAGCCAACGATATTGATGAATTTCTAAATACATAAAACACTTTTCATTCATCATTTCTCTTGATAGCAACGGCAAAACCGGCAAGCAGAGCCTATTTATGGTCAGACTAATAAGACGAATGCACTGTTGTTATACGTAACATTATATTATAAGCATTCAGGGCCGTAGCCAGTTTGTGTAAGATACAATTTCTAAATCCTTCTTAAGTTCAGGCTAGGCCTACGACAGGCTCAAAATTTTCCAGAACAAACTCAGGTTTCCCTGACGTACCCCTGGCTACGTCCTGTAAGTAAGTAATTAACCTGCCTCAAGTTTCCAAAGGAAATATAAAAGAAATACGCAATTTTCTTAAGTTGAATGATCCATTAGCCGTTTTGTAAAATACAATTAAAACCGAAGGATACAAAAAAAAAGACAACATGTTCAAAACTGTAATTTTATAGCTCACATTTAAGTATAATTAATTCAAACCAAAACGATGTTTTCCAAGTTTAAAAGGTAAAAATTATGAGCATTTTCACTGATTATATATAAAAGAAATTATGAGTGCTGTCAGCACAGGGCAAAGTAGTATTACGCAGTTAGTAGCAGCAATTTCTTATGCTGAAGTGTACGATGTGTTGCATACCTATTTAAATTTTAATCATTGATTACTATACTCTATTAAAAAAACATAATGGTCGACATCAGTGACAATGCGACAACAATTGAAAAAGAATGATGGCCGACAACTGCAACAATTAGAAAAGAATGATGGTCAACGCTACGTCATAGTGGAGCAACAAAAATGGCCGGAGGCAGGGGGAAGAACAAGTTATTATTAATAAAAAAATATATGTTTTATTAATTAGCAGGCGACCGCGACATTTCTTTGTAATTTCAGTTTACTTTATTTTACTTTACTAGATAGCGTTTAAAAGCCTTCTTACAATCCACAAATTTANAACATAAAATTTAAATTTAAAATTATAATTTAATCTTTCTCGTCCTATCACGCTACAATTTATTTTACAAAGTATTTTTCGAAGAACAGTGCATTACGCCTCTCTCTATTACTTAAGAACCATAGATAAGCATGAGTGTAATCGGTGTGGATTAAATGTTAAGTGGCAAGTCTTAAGCCACGCAATGCAACGCAATACAACGCAACACAAACGCAACACAAACGCAACGGCTGAAATTCGGCCGCGGCGGATTTCTTTGCATTAAACTACTAAGAATTCTGCACAATTACGTCGCATGTACCCCTAACTGTAAAGTGTGACCCAAGATGTGCATAAAATAAATCATACATACGCATATCTGATTGTGGTACTGAATGTGGCAGCGCGGCGTGGAACAAGAGAAACAAGAAACGGTTATTAGTCATCGAGATTTACAGACGTTTATGTCGTTCTTTAGCATAAGTAATAATTACACATTCGTATTGAAACTGACCAAGACATAAATATGTATTTATACGGAATGTGTTTGTGAAGCCCAACGATTATGGGCACCTAAACACTCTTAGTAAAAATTTGAATGACCAACACACAGGCCAACATTATATATATATATAATGTTCAGCTCAATACCTTTGTATTATATGCCCTTATCTTTACTTTTTGTTGTATTTTTAGTCAAAGTTACCAACCGTCTCAATTTCGGACCCTTACATCCCATTCAGTCATCAATCAATTTTGACTAGTTTTCTGAATAAAGTAGACAAGCTGTTGACAGCACCAATCAAAAATTACCAATTGAACTACCAAACATTCTTTAAACTCTTTAGTTTGATTTATTTCGTTAAAATTAATCGAAACTACTGTTAGTCCAAATCCTAATGCTGTATTATCAAAAATGCGATTACAAAAACGTTTGCTTATTCTGAGAATACAAATGGTTCAAAGAACATTATTTTATTATCTTTACGAATAATATTGTTAAAACGGATTGAAAACACATTATATTCTCTTTAATAATTTATACATTTAATATGGAAAAGACAAAAATGCCTTTAAAAGAAACTGCCATGATCCCTATGTGGAATGACCAGAAGGTGGTTAAGTACCACCTTGCGGTAGAGTAAACTAAACGTTAAAGTGATTACTATGTAATAAATTGCAATTCCTTAGGATGATGAGAACATAGTTAAAATCAGGGACGTGATTATTTATCCTACTGGATTGAAAATGGTGCAATTATAGTAGGCAACCAGCTGTACCCAAGGTAGGCAGAATGCACCGAGTACATAACAATATTATGTTGGTATAAGCGGATGAAATTGATACTTGATAAAAAAAAGGTATAAAATAGAGGTAGTTAGTAAAGAGACATTGCGAAAAATTACTATTATAATCACATCTCTGATTCATTACATGCTAGAGTAAGGCCTGTATTTGATTAAAATTACGAAAAAGTCATTATTTTTGGAAAAATTATAACGAATGTAACTTTCCCATTGTTGGTTTCTCTTAAATAATCTTTAAATTCAAATTTGTAAACGAATTCTCTCACGGGAATGTTCATGTTAAAGAGAAGTTAGCATTTTAGTACGTTAAATATAAATAAAATATTTTATACCTCCTTTGAGTACAGATTTGCATAAATAAAGAAAAAATTAATTAGTAAATATTACATATTGTAAGTACATACATAAAATTAAAAGTTACGATATACATATTAATTTTAAGTGGAAATTATTAGATGGTTTTTTATTGTAGAAACGTAGCAATCCGTAAAACGTGCATAAAATATTTATAATAAACAATCAGTAGCTTTTAAAATCGAAAACAATTAAATATGTACTTAAAGTCTACCAAAATTTGTAAAACAGCTCCTTGGTATGACGTTTAAAGCTGAAGTACACATTTTACCCACGTGAAAGTGAAATACTAATAATAGTTTTATAAGCACTTACATAATATATTTAAAGCAAAATGTAGCTATTTTAAAATTTATTTCCCAACTTACGTATGTTACTTTCAACTGTTTCATTAGGACATATTCACAANGAAATTGATGCAAAACCCTTATATCTAACCCCATATTCTATAACACAATATCACAACGCAAAAAAATGTTTATAAAATTTTTTTTTATTTATTCCTACCTTTTTTCGATTTTCATCCAAAAGGGATATGAGCGTCTCCCGAGCTGACTGAACGGGATTGGAGGACATAAGGCTCCTCATGTAAAAGTAAACGGCATCTAATTTTCGCCTCTGAAATATAAAACAAGCAGTTTTAAAAGTGGTAGGATGCAATTATATGCACTTTAAAATAACTAAATTAAATGATAAATCAATTACAATTACAATTACAAATTGATGATTCATAAACGCAAATAAACGAAACATTACGACCAAGAATCCTCAGCCAGAAAAACGGAATTATTAATTACAAAATACTTTGAGATCTGATAAACCTGTTCCACATTAAAAAAGCAAATCAAGTAAAGGCAAATGAGATCAACTATAAAATATATACTTTAAGTGTTAACTATCTATCTATTTAAAAGTGCTAAGAAAATTAAAGCATCTGTTTAAAAAACAAGGGATTAGTACTTACAGCACAAAAAGCCAGTACAGCTAATTGATTATAGGGTCTACCATTTTTAGGATTAAGCTCGCATGCTTTAATGTACCACCTGAAACAAAAATTATAATTTAATCTTTCTCGTCCTATCACGCTACAATTTATTTTACAAAGTATTTTTCGAAGAACAGTGCATTACGCCTCTCTCTATTACTTAAGAACCATAGATAAGCATGAGTGTAATCGGTGTGGATTAAATGTTAAGTGGCAAGTCTTAAGCCACGCAATGCAACGCAATACAACGCAACACAAACGCAACACAAACGCAACGGCTGAAATTCGGCCGCGGCGGATTTCTTTGCATTAAACTACTAAGAATTCTGCACAATTACGTCGCATGTACCCCTAACTGTAAAGTGTGACCCAAGATGTGCATAAAATAAATCATACATACGCATATCTGATTGTGGTACTGAATGTGGCAGCGCGGCGTGGAACAAGAGAAACAAGAAACGGTTATTAGTCATCGAGATTTACAGACGTTTATGTCGTTCTTTAGCATAAGTAATAATTACACATTCGTATTGAAACTGACCAAGACATAAATATGTATTTATACGGAATGTGTTTGTGAAGCCCAACGATTATGGGCACCTAAACACTCTTAGTAAAAATTTGAATGACCAACACACAGGCCAACATTATATATATATATAATGNTAAAATATTAATTGAAGTACTTACTGTCTGCACTTTCCGTAATTAGACGTTTCATTGACTTCCTCCTTGTACCTTCCAAGATCCCCCAGAAAGAGAAACAATTTCTGAGCAGAAATGAGGGCTAGTCCTGCATACTTAGATCCTTTAGGGGTCGTATTGTTATTGTTACCTAAATGATCACTCAATTTGAAATTGTGCGTCTGTTCTAGGAGTTCAAGCAATGATTCAAAATAGTTTGTTCCTTCTTCGATAATCCACAATAAAAAACCTTTATACTGTTCCTTATTCTGTGCATCATTTGCAATTGCTTTTCGCATAGTTTCGATTATGTTGTGATAGAGAATCTTCCATAAATGTTGTTCTACATTTTCAGACTGGCAAAACTTTATGTCTTTACACAAGAGATATTTCAAGCTTTCCATTAGGAACCGGCGTAATTTAATTACATTGCCCCAATGGACCAAGATCATACCCGAATTATTTATGTATTGAAGTTCCAAGTCGGCCTGTTTAACCTCCTTCAACAGGCCAGGAAAACGGCACGACTTCCAATTATCCGAATTTTCATTATACCATACAGGTCTCTGATTGCCTAATTGATCCGTGTACTGATTCAATTCTGGTGGAGGTTCAGTATTGTCTGTGAATCCTGGCACACTAACTCTGCAACTACTCGAATTTATAATGATAGGTTTATTTGGATTTTTTGGGTCGAACAGGCACTTTTGTTGTTGTGTGCCTGGGCTTACAGGTTTCCGTTGCATTTCGGGGTAATGAGGTCTTTCTGTAGCTATTCCGGAAACCGTTTCAGCTTCCTTCTGTGGTAAAACAAGTAATCCACCTTTCTTTGAACCCATTTCTGGTTCCTTTAACACTTCTTTTTCAGAATTGCGCCGAATATAGTTTCCTCCCCCTCCTGAATCTTTACGCGTTGCGTACTCTTTCTCTGATTCCCTTGTTGGTCTCTCGTCCCTTTCCGAATCCCTTCTAATTCTGTCATCCCTGTCAGAATTAATTCGTACTCTATTGTCCCTCTCTGATTCTCTTCGAATTTTATCGTCTCGATCCGAATCTCTCCGAATTCTTTCATCTTTTTCCGAGTCTCTTCTTATCCTATCATCTTTTTCAGATGCTGCCCGACATCGAATTATCTCTTCTCGCCAGTTTTGGGGTTCATTCTCGTTTATGTTTCGTTCAAAGCTAGGTTCCCTACTCGTCCTTCGAGACCTATAACCTCTACGATCGTAGCTACTGTCTCGAGAATTACGGCGACGCCGCCCGCGACCTTCCGGGACCTTAAAAGGTTGATCCCTTGACGAGGAATTACGAGACTGATCGTAACCATGCTCTAAATAATGGGTATGTTGGTAGTCCGAGTTTTTATCATTTTGTCTACTTTTACTCCTACAGAAATATATTTTATATCAGAAATAAATATATTTTAAGAAAAAAACTCTTACCTGTTTTTTCGCTTTTTTGTTTTCCTGAAAGTAAATAAAATTGACCAATTAGTATTAAAAAAAACAACAACAAATTACGAACTTACTTTTTGGACTGTTTTCTTGTATTCTGTGGATTACTAATTGCCGTACTATTTTCTATTAAACTAGTAACAGATGAACTTCTTGTCAACGCATCACTGAGGGCTTCTAGTTCAACTTCCTCGCTCCAATCCTAATACACACCACAAATTAGTAATAACAAATGAAACAGCAATTTTAATTATGAAGGAAATAAAAACTGACGAAGCTGCTTGTAATTGCCGTCTTATAATAAAAGTCGAAATGAAAAGTAATACACTGAGCAATACTATAAAATAAAAATTATAACTGCCTCCAAATAACTTAAGAGTACGCATACTTATTTGGGTACTGTCCTAGTATACCTGACCAAAATGACAAAAATGACTTTCTACTTACCAAGACTTTGTTCACAGTTACAGCTGTTTCTTTTGGTATTCCAATTTGTTTTTCAGGTGGTGTAGGCGGCGACACGGGAGATAACTGCTGTTTCAAACTGTCTCTGAAACCCCTGATCATCATATCCCTAGATTTATTATTGCCTTCATTAACAGTGTCGGATGCGGCTTGGAAATCGCCGGCTTCTTGGCTTTTATCACAGATTTCTTGTCTCTCTGCACCAGCTATTGCACCGTTGTTATTGTTATGGGAAAGAGACAGGGGAGTCGAAGGGCGACTGCTATGATGTGACATATTCTCGTTACCGTAAGTCGCAGGAACAACAGACGGGGGAGTAGAAGGACGAGAATTAAAAGGACTTGTTAAATAGTAAGGATCTCCTGTATTGCACCTAAAAAACAAATGTTACAATTTCATTAATATATGCTGGCTGTGAAAACCACATGATAAGATAATACCAAAAAGTAGTCATGCAAAATCAAAAAAAGAAGTAAAAAATATTTCAGCTATAGATAAAAATAGTAACCTAACAACACATTATACAATAATATATGTGCTAGTATATAAACAACAAATGAAAAAATATTTGCAGCGTAAGAGTGTAGATTAAAAAAAGTGGTCTAACATTAATAAACTACAGATAAAATAACACAAAAAAGTAAATAAGCGGAAACCAAAAAAAGTATTTGAAATATAGATAATAAAGTTAAGAAGATATAAGCAACATAAAGAAAGGCCAACATTTTGTTGATGTTTTACAATATCATCAATGAAAAATGGAATGATAATTGTAGTATTTTATGTAACATTCAATTTAAAATGTTAATTTTTATCGAAATGGACACACTAATAATAGTTTGAGAAATCAAAAAAGAAAGTCAAACTTCCAGAAAAGCTAGATAATCAAAATTGTATCTTAGAAACTCACCTAGGTACAAAAATAAAAGCTTTACAAAAAGTAAATATGGGATGTATTTGATTGAATGCCTAATTAGTATGAATAAAAAGCGATTAAATAAAACCAATATTAAAGAAATAATGTCTAAGTGACAATAAGGTGAACATACTTCAACACAAAGTAGTTTATAATAATGAATATAGAAATAACATATATATACTATTAAACTCCTTGAAAGTAATAACAGTAAGTACTTCATTCCTAACATTGAAATATGAAATTTCAAAAATTGTATACCTCAACAAACAATAAATAATTTTGTAGACTTACTTATTATAGTAATTTGTATGAGAATGGTCATATTCATGTTGCAATCGGCCTCGACCCCTTGGAATTCCATGTGGTAGCGTGTAGTAGCACTGCGGAGAATTTGAGAACTGATATTGATTATGTACATTTTGTTGTTGCAGAGATAAATGTGCATGGCTAGGCAACGAATAATTTCTATCAGACATACAAGCAGTTTGGGATATGTTTGGCCTATGGGAACCTTGAAATGTGAGACTATTACCATCCCATGTCCCTTCAGATTGTGTACCAATGTAAGAACCCAAAAGTTTATTTTCTTCCAAAAATTTTTTCTGAAGTCGTGGTGGTAAGGAATCTAATTTTGCCAAATCTAAGCTTACACCACTTGGCCTTCGACCACTGGGAGGTTTGGCACGAACTTTCTCGTTTGATTGGTAACCCTTATAAGTGGGATCCACACTTCGTGAGTCACGTGCACCACGATCCCAATTACGTGATGTTATATTCCGAGGTTCAGAACCTCTTCTGAAGTCTCTATTATCCCGACGATACTCGAAATCCTTTTTTGATGGTGATGAAGCTCGCCAATTTCGATCTTGTGTGTCTGAAGATATACTTAATCTTCTTCTGTTAGAAAATCGTTTTGGTCTTGAACCCTCAATAATTCCATTTGAATATGTTAAATTGCTACCAACACTGCCACTCAATTCTTTATTCTCTGCACTACATTGGTCTACATTAGAGTACGCCAAATTTTCTGTAGATTTATTAACACTTCCTTCCCGAGCTTGGACTAATGGTTTAGGAACATAAAAGCTTTGATCAGGTTTCTTTGATTTACGCTTGTTAGTTGAGTTATCATTTATATCCATATCGCCTAGCTTTTCGGACACCACATCCAAATTGTGATCCCTAGGTGAGTTATTTTCACTTTTTAATTTAGAGCGATTAACTGAAGATTTTACAGCGTTATTTCTAGCATTGATAATGACATTAGTGTCCGATTCAGATTCTTCTAAAATTTGACCAGTCCTACGTAAAGGGCCACTTCCTGGTCTATATATCTGCTGAACGGGCTTTCCACGTTTCATTCTTTTGCAATTTTTATCTAGAAAATGGTTATTTTTTAATAAAATAGGTTAATTATTTTTTACAGGTTATGTAATGAAAACATATGACACAACTTTACGTTAATGGTAAATTTATAGCAAACAAAAACTGAAAAAATAACTCTAAACAAATTCACTCCAAGCAAACAATGAAAGGGTACTTACCCTTTATAAACTAGAATTACGATTCTGCATCGAAAACTTTTATCAAATATTTTTGTTTGTTCACCATCAACGGACGGGTTTAGTTCCAAAAACATCAAAACAATACGTGACAGAATGCCAAAAAGCAGGAGCTGACAATTGTAGCAATAAAAATTCTTAGCTAAAAATATTATAACGCTAACATTTACTTCTACAAAAGCACCCACAGTATTAAAAAATTGTACAGTATTAGACATTCCTTGTATCTTTGTATTAGTCCATCATTTTTACTTTATAGATAACTACTATTATCCACACCTGTTGTAACAGAATAATGGATATGTGGTAGGAGAAATCATTGTTACATTTAGTAAATACCAGTCCAACAATGTTTTTAATTATCAATGATTACTTAGTAGAAATTTTTGAATCTTATAGTCTTTTTTTCAAAATTAATAGGCAATAATTTTTCATTCCCCAACATCTAATTAGCACTATTTTAATATGTTTGTTGGTAACAAATAAATCTTCTGTCATTGGCAGCACTGACTGTCGACAAATTTCAAAATTCAAATTCAAAGTACAAATAATTACAAAATTAAACTCATAATGTAAAAAATTCTCTAAAAATTTTCCAACAAATTCTATAAAATGACTATACAGCAACTAATTAAACTATTGAAAATATGTAAACACTGAAAATATCAGATAATGGATGAGTGGGACTTAGAGCCAAAAAGGAAACTTCAAGCAGGACCCACAGCTTCTAGACTCCCAGCTCAAACACAAAATTTTTCCGTGACAAGTACGTTTGTTAGAAATAAAGACCCTAATGATATACAGGGTCAGTTACGAAACCTACAAGCTACAGAAGACTTGGAACTTACTGGTCAAATCAAAGTGCTTTCTTCTATGTACGCAAATTTTACTATAATCATTTAAAGTGTGTACATGTAGTTTAAAAGTCAAAATAATGCTTTATAGGTTATTGTAGAATACACCACAGCTAACTCCGTAAATATTTTGGTAAAAAGTAATTTCGAATATGAAATATTTATTTTTAAAATTAGGATATAAGGGATTTCTCTTAAAAATTAAAATTTTCCTTTTAATTTAATCAAACAAATTCTTTTCGAACTATAAAATTTATTTCAATAATAAGCTAATGAAAACAATATAAGACGAAATACATTATAAAAGTATCTCATAGCATTCCATCCCTTTTACATATTAATATAAAATTGCAATCAAAATTACTATACATCTTAATTTTCCTGTTGCCTTTACTAGAACAACCACAAAGGAGGCTTATTGTGTGAAATATACTGAAGAGTATGACTACTTGTGTGCCGGTTTTACCGATGGCAAAATACGTGTATTTTCAACAGCAAATTCCAAATGCACTGCAACGCTTACTGATGAAGAAACTAACGAAAATTCAGCACCAGTCACTTGCATGAAGCATAGGCCTGTCAATAAAAATTACCCTATTATTAACTGCATTACTGCCACATGTAAGTTCAAATAAAAATTATGCACTTAATATTAATTTAAAAGAATGGAAATTGATGCAAAACCCTTATATCTAACCCCATATTCTATAACACACTTTGTTTTTAGATTTTTTTTTAATTTCATTTAAGTATTTCTTTAATGTAGTGGATTTAGGGTGGAATTTTTGTCCGTTTTCACGCACCCTAGCATACAAGTTATTGTTAGGAAGCTCTTAATAATTAATTTAAATAGATACCACTTCTCATGTTGAGGGTTGTTTGGATAAAAATTTGGAAAACAGGAATTAAAATTATTTCGAGTACCTACCTTAGTTTTTTAACGTTAATTGTTAGATTGTTAGATTGCAACGGGTCTTTATCATGTTAATCTTGATTAAAAATGTTTTGTTTGCAATCAACACGAAAAGTTACTTATCTTTAGATGCAAATGGACTAGTGAAATGTTGGAATTATAGTTTCAATCAATGTACGTACACAATACGAGAAAAAAGGCAAACTTACAATATAACATACCATCCACGACTGCCAAAATTTATTACTTGTGGGGATAATGGAAAAATGTACTACTATGATGAAGAATCAAAGGTGCAAGAAAGAATATTAAGTGGAAGGTATTTTTTACCCAGTATAGCGATATGAAGTAATGATATATTGAAAATTTAAAAAGAATTCAAAAATATAAAATACTTTTCAGGACTTATATAGTTAAAAAAAAAGACGAAATATTTTGATATTGATTCCTTTTTCCGAAAATTACACAATTACTACTTCAGGTAATATTCATCTGACTTTTATTAATGCTAATTAATTCCGTGTTAAAGCGACAACAATTCCGTTTTGGATGGGCACTCTTCAAGAGTATTCGCTGCTTGTTTTAATCCCCAATCAAATTATGAATTAATCACTGGAGGTTGGGATGATGTTGTACTTTTTTGGGACCTTCGTCAACCATTCGCTTTGCGTCATTTATCAGGTCTACATATGGGGGGTGAAGGGCTAGATATTGATTCTGCTGGAAAAACTGTGAGTACTTACCATGTATGACACTGTACACTGCATAGACATATAT